TATACAATTGTTTTTTAAGTAAAGCATTATTAAGTTGAATATAATCTTTATTAAGACTATCAAATTTACAAGCAGCAATTTGATATATGATACTATTATTTCAGGATTGCGAGCATTTTCATCACTATTATGAAGTTTATTTATACTAGTATTGGTTGTAACTAGATATTCTAAATATTTCTTTAGGATTTTCATCAAAAAAAAAATAGTGGATATTACTTGATTCCAAATATTATTATTTGCCAATGGTTGATTAATAGATAATTCAAGAGAACTAGATAAAATATACAAGTTTTTGTTGTGATAACAGATTCTTTCTATGATAACTAATATGATACAATTTATTATATAATTTGCTATCTTTATAAGTTTTTAGCTGCATAAAAAAACTGGTAAATGATATGAACGTGTATTCAATATGAAAAGATGTGGATTGATATACCAAAAAGCTTCTGTAAGATAATTTATAAGTTTTTTTTAATCGTATTATGTGAACCTCCTGTCTTACTAACTTTCTGATCCTCAAAAAGTTCGATAATTTCATTATAAAGTCAATCACAATTATTATATTCATTAAAACATAAAGGAAGTAAGGGTTAACTTGAATTTTTCATTGCAATGCTAAAAGTATTTGTCCTATTTTGGATATATTTAACATATTTAAATCTGATTCAAAAATAAGATAAAATTTGACTTGCAAAAACCTAAAACTTCTAACATTTTTAAATCACCTTTAGCTCATTATTAATTTTTTGCTAACTTTCAGATTTGTCTTTTCGAACAAAAACTTGTACCTCTCTATTATTATATTATCCTAATGTTACTGCATCAAAAAGGTCAAAAATTGTTTAATTGTAGATTCTATGCTTACTACATGTTCAAAAATAATACATTTGATATTTTCGTTAACTTGAACCAAAAGATAAAGCATGATTCACAAATGTAAATGGCTAATTTAAAGTATTTCTCGTCTACATGAAAAATTGCAAATCTTTATCTATTTTGTAAAAATCATCAGGTGTTTAATCTCAATTTTTCTACTAAATGAATCACAAATTCTTTATTAACTTATTTTTTTCATTGTGTCGTCATTCTCTTTTTTTTTTAAATAAAAAGAATTTTATCGAAATAAATTGATTTTTGATTTGAAGGGGCTATTTTTGACATCAAAATTTATTTAAGTTAAAAAATGAACAAGAAAATTAAATAAAAAAAAATTTATCAAAATATTATAATAAAAAAAAATCTAAAATCTCTTTTTACACATGATTTTTTCTCAATTTTTAAATTAATTTAGAGTTTGTACCAAAATATTCCATTTAAGGTTTGACATCAAAATATAAAAATAGTTAGTTTAATCAATCAAAAATTGGTCATATTTTGAATTGAATAAAAATACTGTCCAGTACTTATCTGATTCGAGATATCAAATGACAAAAATAATGCAATTCTATTGGCTAAATATAATGTATAATATTTGTTTTAGTTTTTATAAAATAGGGAAGGATTATGTAGGTTATATTAAACAAAGAATTGGTTTAGTTTGATCTAAGGTAGATAAACTATACTGTATTGTACAAAAGTAATTACAACTAATGATATTTAATTAGATAATGATTATATAAAATCAAAAAAGTATATAATGAAATATGATTGGTTACAATCATTTTCATATAGTACAGTTCAGCTGATTATACTGTACAGTTTATATGTATACTCTAAATTGTGTTATATTTCTAACCAAATCAAACAGTACAGTTATTACATTAAAATGTTCGTTGACTTTTCACAAAAATTTTTATAAACTTTTAAAAGCAAACAGTTTAAGAAGACCTTGTTGGAATGGAAAAATCATCTATTATTTGATATATTTATTATATGAATAATCAATACTTTTTAAAACTCCTTTCTTTATGTCTAATTAATGCTTTTCAACTATTTTTATTTAATTTTAAACAAAAAATCACATTATCTTTGGTATAAAAACACACACTAAGTAGAAATATAAAATTTTTTAAAATATTACAAACAAATAAATTTGCAATTATTCAACTAATTATTTAGTTATAAAACCACTTAAAAATATATTTAGAAATATTATTTGATTATTTTCTACAATAAATATATAAATTTTATTATTCTTTATATTAAAAATTAAAGAAATTTTAACATAATTCAAGAATAACCTAAAATTTACTTGAATATTTACCTTTTTCACCTTAATAAAACTTGTTTCTTTTGCTAAATTATAATATATATTATTAGTTAAATGTTATCCAATAAACATTTTTAAAATTAAAAAATCAATTTTTTGATATACAAAAACTATTTGAATAATTACCTTTACAATTATTTTTCCTCATGTAAAATTATATTTATTTTAACTGTCAAAATCATCGAATCCTATCATAACGTAATACATTCTATAAAAGTGGCCTTTGGTAAATTAATTTTTACATTACTTTTGCATAACGTTGTATAAAAATTTTTAAAAAAATATATTATAATAAAAGTACTGCAAATATTTGAAGTTAACTGATCAAATAGTACCTTATTTCAAGTTAATATTTTTTGAGCGAATGAATCTTGTTTTATTATTTAATGAAAGAAAATCGATCAGTGTACCCCGATCTTGGCTGGACGTTTTTATTTAATGAAAGTTAAAAATGAAAAGAAATAAAAGTTAGATTCTGATAAAAATAAAAAATAAAAATAAAGAATAAATAATACAATAAACGACAAAATTGTTTTTAAATATTGAAAAAAATAGCTACCTCTTAATTATATTTCTTTTTTGATTTTATTAGCTTTGTCTCAAAAATAGGTAGTCGAAGCTTTAGCAGCCACCTGTTTAGTTAAATACTTGCTGTAGCATCTCACGCTGTCAGGCGATAAAAGAAATAAAATGAGTCGGATTATCAAGATATATTCTCATCATAATCAACCAATAATATTAACTTAGACGACTATTGAGACACTTCCTTGGCAATAAATAATAACGAAAAAAATTATGAAAATGTATATATAAAAGAAAGAAAAAACGTGTCTCCAATAAATTCTTGAAACATATGTGAAATTCCTAAAAGTTTTCATGAACTGCCCTATATCGTATATAGTGTGGGTAATTCATATCGTAAAATTGATATAAGTTTTTGTAAGAAAAGTCTTATTTACATCAGTAAAACCCATTTTAAAGTATTTATTCAGCTCTTTTTGTGACAATAACATAAAAATGAGACAGATTTCAAGAGGTTATTTCTACGGATATGCTTTCTAAAAATTTAGTTTGAAAAAAATGATAATCAAGGAAGCCTCATAAATGCCATGTGGATGACATTTGACGAATCTTTTATTTATTATTTAAATTAACGATAATACTACCTTACGTATATTCCTCGATATTATAAACGTCGCCAACTTTAATAGATTTTAAATAATACTTTACATAACCAACGCTTTCAAAAATTCTCGTTAAAAAATTAAATTAGTAAATTATTGTTACAATAACGAAAACTTTGTTATTTGTTAATTAATAATATATTTTTTTAATTTATAATCCCAAATGTATTGTTACCTATATGATCTTGTTCGAGTTTGAAGAGAATAGTTTTTTTTATTAAGCCGTAGTAGTTTCACAACGATTTACATTTATTAAAATAAAATTGGCTCCGGAACAGAGCTCCGACTTTGAGGCAGTTTATTTTTGTTTAATTAATTAAAAACCTCTGCTTACCTTTACCTTCGTTTATAAAAATAACTTATTAGAACGTAGCGCAACACAATTAATCTTCCTCATGTTTCGATGTTCGTATTAATTATTATTAATTTTACTGCGCATTTATTTATCGGACTAAATTGAGTTGAATCTGCTTTATTTGAACGAAAGAAAATCCAACAATAATTATTATTGTTAGAGTTCTTATACCATAACTCCAACGATACAAAAGCAGATCTCTTGTAGAATAACTTAACTACATAAATTATCATTTTAAAAATATTAATTAAATTTAAATAAATTTTATTTGAATTTAAAATTCATTTTTTTTTTGGACGAAATTTTATTTATATAAATATAAGACAAAGAAAGTAATTTATTTTCAGTGATTTTTTTTTTTTTTGATTTTCTTCGCAAAATTCTATAATAAACGAAACTTCAACGAGTAAAATATGCCATTAAAATCACGTTACGGTTATATGATTTACTATGTTCCTAATCGAAAAATTCATACCGGTATGGATTTATCCATACATTAAAAAGTATACGTACCATACATAGAAATAATCCCATACAGGTTTCTGTAACGCCTAATAATTGTGAATTTTAATATATAGAATTAAAATATACACCCTTTTACTGTATATAAAACAAAATTGCCAGCTATGGTACAATTTTCCTATTTTTTAACATTTGTAAAAGAATAAAGAAAAAACTTTCATTTTTCAATTTAATAACATTTATTAAATTTATTCAAAAATTATGATGAGTAAGCATGCATGGATAGTAGTTTCCTTTAAATATAGTTTATTATCATAGAATATTAATTCTTTGAAACAAACAAGTAGGTTATCTAAATTACCATTATTCTTGTAATAATCAATAGCTTGTTTATGCTGTTTATAAGCAGTAATCTTATGTATTTTTCACCAATTCTTCATTTTTTAAACCGGAATTATCAGAAAAATATAAAATTGCAGCATTATACATACCAACAGATTGCCATTTCGGCGCTTTGGTAAAATATTCGGCAGCTCGTATTAAATCCTTTTAACTCCTATACCTTAAAACGTAATTGAGCTTCAGAATCACCTGAATCCGCTACTTCTTTATATAAATCTGCCATTAATTAGTCTTTCGTTGTTTGATCCATATAAAGTTTAACTTTTGAATATAATATGCTTTAAAGTATTTTGCTTTCATATCATTTAATTTTGCATTGGCTTCAAAACATTTATAAACTAACTCACGATCGCCATTCAAAAGTTTATGTTGCTTCGTCGCTTTATCTAGTTAAACTCTGCGAAACTTTCCTTACAAGAGTTTCACTTTTTGGCGTGAGTTTAGGACTAGGTAATGGCGTATATTTGGCATCTTTCTTATATAGATCTTGTAATATGGTATAGATTTTTGAAAATTGAGGTCTGAAAATATGATCTTGATGAACTGCTAAGAGAGATTTATAATAATTAATTTACCGAAATTGAATTTATATATTTATTTGTTAAAAAATATGTATATTTATAGTTAAATTTGCAAAATCTTGATATCCTATTGGCAAAGGGGAACCAAATGAAAATGGTTCACGACATTGTTTGTTGCAAACAAGCTCAGTAATAGCAAGGATATCATCATATCTCTCATAAGGAGATTTTTCTTCGGCAATCTCCCAAAGTAGTATACCAAAACTATAAACTTCACACTTAGTATCGTATTCTGACCTTCTTTCTAATTTTTCTGGAGCGCAATACCGTCTTAGAGATCGGTTTATGTAATTTCTCTTGTTTTAAAATTTGCAATTTTGACCATGTTGCAATTATGATATTCCCAGAAATAATATCACAATGAGCAATCTATAGAGACGAGTTTATCAAAGCAAATCCTAATTTCATCTTAACATCAAGTGAATTATTTTGATAAAATTCTTGTAAATTGCATACTCGGCCCATTCAGTCACAAAATAGTATTTATCGTCATACGCTGTTAAACCAAAGTATTGAATAATACTATCACATTGTTATCTTTATCCTCTTCGCTGCTATTTTTAACAGCAATAAACTTTAATGCAACAAAATATTCAATCCATACTTTCTACTCCTAAATTTTTTAACCTTTTTAAACCATCAGGTTCTTGTTCTTCAAAATAATTATATTCTAGTAATTTACTCTTGTATATATCGGTTGATTTAGATGTGCATTCAATTGTACGACCATACGCAAGATTATATGATTGTTGTCAGTTACACCAAGATACTATAGCTACAATTAATTATATAAAATATTTGGTTATTTATCACCTGAAAAAGCTCTTTGATATCAGACGTAATAATTCCGGTATCTAAAATCGACTGCCAGAGAGAATTGTAATGCTTGTATAGTGAAACTCACTACTTAATTCTTTTACATTGCTCTCAATACTTTTAGCTTGAATATACTTGGATAAACCTGTTAATTGAGAAATTTCTCCAACAAATTTTCGAATATTTTTAATTTTATTTAACCAATTTTTGCAGATGGGTAAGATTACTTTTTGAAAAAAATTTCATTTTTGTCTACGATTTTTTAAATTCCTTAATGCTGTATCGGCTATTTTGGATTCTATCCAACAATATCCCACATATTTTTTTTTATTATGTTCAGCTGATTGATAAATTTCGATAATTTCATTAAATACTTCGGCTACCTCTTTTATAAGTGGTAAAAAACTTAATAATGGCAGTATTCCATCTAAAACAAATGTTGTCGTATTAAGCGTTGGTCCTAAATTTAAATTCATTTTTTTTAATAAACAATATTTATTAAAAGAATTAAGTTTAAAGAGCAACTATAAATTTTCTTTACCATCTGTTGTAGGAGTTTTCTCGGGATCCAAATCTGACGCGATTTCTTTTTTTTTGAAATATATTTAGTAATTGATTTATGGTGGGCAAATGTATAAATTATCTTTACCATTTATTTTATCTGGATTTGTATAAAAAATTTTTTAACAATTGATTATAGTTTAATGAGCAAATGTACAATTATCTTACCATTTGGTGTAGGAATTCTCTCGTGATTCGAGTCTAACGCAATTTTTTTTTTTAGGCAAATAATTGATTATGGAAAGCTTTATAGTGTAGTATGATAAGATAATTCATTTACCATTTGATATTTTAGATTCTGAAGTCTCCTTGGCATTCGAATCTAGCGCTAATTTATTAATATCAAAATTATGACGTGATGAACAACTGTATAAATTATTCTTACCATCTGATGCTTCAGGATCCAAAACTGGTGTTAAATTTTTTTTTTATAATTCTCGAAATTGGTTATTAAATAATTATAGTTAACGTTAAAGTATTTACCATTATTTTTTTTGATGTATCCGAATCCGTTTTATTTTATTTTAATATCTTTAAAGATAAGATTATTAAGAATTATAGATAGTTAAAGCAAATTTATAAAATAATCTATACCGTCTGATGTATATTATTCAAATCTCGCACTAATTCTATGATTTAAAATTTTTTTTTTATTTTTTGAATATTCGTCAATTTTCGTTAGATACATAACTAACTAACTAGCTTACCTGAATTCCAGGCGCAACAGAGAAAGTTATTAATATTTTTAAGTACAGGTAAATATGTATGAACTGCAGATCGCTAAAAAGAAACTTTATGGTAGTGTAACATCCCCTTTAAATTACCTATATTGATATTGTAATTGTGTCATTCAAATGTTTCTTTTCCATACTTGTCGTATTATAATTTACTATTTTGAAGTTATAAGTTTCATTCAGGAAAATTTGTTTTATTAATTTTTTTATAAATCTGCCGATCATAATATCCTATATTTTAAAAGATTTATTTCATAAATAATATTCTTTCCCTTAAAACAATCAAGCTAATAATAAATTCGAGAAATTGGTTGAATTAAACTTTAATTCGACTTGGTATCATATTAAATAATATAAAAAAGCAAATAAAAATAAATAAAAAATAAGAACGTATAAACGAAAATACTATGAATTACTAAAATTATTTATAAATGATGCACTGCGGTCCGTAATAAACCGTTTAAAATGATTTATTAATTTTATTTATTTAGCTTATTTGTCATTAATCATATTAATATTTCGTATAATTCCAGACAAAATTAAAATCGTGTATCATGTGATGTGAAATTATGCATTTTGCCGGTCTTTCTTTTTTTTAGCAATTTTTCATAGGGCCTTCGTAATATGTGTAACTGATTATTAACTCACATATGGATATTACAGACAATAATTTCTTTCGCAACATAAATTTACTACGGGAGACTTCTCTAAACTATACAAACACAAAAATGTAAGCAGGAAGTTATGCAACAAACGTTAGATATTGAATAGTGAGATAACTAGCATAACATTTTCAACTTTGAATATTCATTTCTATTTAGTTGAAAACGTTCGATATATTCATTTGCAATGTTTACTATTTCTTTTTATTTCTGCCTTCATGCATATCTTTCTGTGATGGTACTTATATCGTCATGATCAGCCAAACCTTGTAAAGGAAATCCTTTTCAAAGTGACGTTAAAAAGTGTTTCTTGAACTATATTACATAAATTTGCAGAATTCGAAATCTGAAAAAATCTAAATTTACCAAATCTCCAAGTGTAATGTATTGACTCTTTGAGGAATAGTATTTATCCATTAAATATTGTGCTTGACTTTGTCTTGTTCAATATCTATATTATAGTACGGCCCACAAGATCATGCTTTATAAAAAAGGCTCATCGAATCATAACAATTCTTTTTTTTAATTTCTATTATTCTTTAACATTTTCTCAAACCAATATGCAATGCGAAATAAAAATATTTATAAAAAATATTCTTACTATATTATTAATTTCTAAATCTCTAGAAAATAATATTTTCTGCTATCCAATGCAAAATTTAGTTAAAATTATTATTCCGCAGTAGGAATATAATAAAAGAAATGATAGAAGAAAGTTATTACCTTATGTTAGTAATTTACATTTTTTTTTACGTGGCTAATTCCAGCTTCTTATAACGCAAACTGTTATGATATTTTTAAATATTAAAGTAAAGCTATCTCTTCTTTTCAAATTAATTAATTACTACAAAGTCAAAATATCTCATATAAGCCGTTGCAATATATCGATACTAATTTTTACTAAGTAATTAATGCTTTTTAGTTTATTTATTTTATAGTGAATTTAAGAAAGGCTTATTATTATGGATATTGATATAAAAAAAATTTATTTATTCTTTAACTATACGTTATGGATATTGTACGATGCGTTATTTATATTGGTTACCATCACGAAGTGACGTTAACCAATGTAAATAATCACCGTACAATATCTATATTATCGTACGGCTAAAGCAGATCATGCTTAAAAGCTCCAAGATTTTTTCTAGTTAGTATCTTGTTAGATGGTTCAGCAGATCAATTAGTATTGTAAGTATTGTAATGATAAAACTTTCTCTTGAAAAGTATACAATTATTTCGTGATTTTGTCCTCAACAGATATAAAGGAGGCAATCAGCCTAAACTTTCAGCCAGCATATGACTAACCCTCCGGTTTATCAAATGAATCATACCAAATTTTTGATACAAATTTTGTTGTTGGATGCGCAACTACCTGAGCTACCTTTATTATTTCCTTAATTTCTTCTGTTATTATTCAAACAAATTTCACGTGAAAAACTAATAGGCATTATTTCAAAATGACTTGTAAGTATATAAAATGAATACTTCATCAAGCAAATTTCAGTTTAAAAAATTCTTCCACGCCAGTAATTTAATATAAAGAACGATTGAAGTTATTTATAATATCCTATAATAAATAATGTTTGCTTTATTCTAGTTGTCAATTCTCAACTTATAAAACGCAAATCCTTATACTTTTTGAAAAATTTTATTAAATATTTATTCAGTTAGTGAATTATTCTCTACTTTAGTAATAAGTTAATCACTACAAAAAGTTAATTACTTTACGTAAAAGGTTGCAACAAATCAATACAAATGATAAATCTTTAAAATTACTATGAATACTAGCTCTTTAGTATATTTTATTAAACAAGAAGATTTTAGAAACGATAATATGAAATTAAGAGAAAATAAATTATTTTTAATGATATACGACAATTAACTATTGATTTCAATATTGAACACAAATAAGCTACTAAATTTCAATATTGTACGATATATGCAAATTAAAGTCTATTATAAAAAAATATAGGTCAAATAAACTCAGCATGAGGGCCGTGCGACAATCAATAATAATGTCTATTATTAGAAAACTAATCTATATAAGAATGGAAGGAAATGCAACAAAGAGAATGAAGAGACTTCCTCCCCTCTGCCAAATGATATACCCAATTAACAATACTCGGAATATAAATTTAATAATTATTCTTGGAAATTTAATCAAGTTATCGACATCAGGGGTCTGTCTAATTTTACAGAACTGGTTTCACGTTACGATCATAATTTGGAAGATCATACTACGAGCTTTTTTAACATTTATTTTTAGCGATTGGTTTAACTCTCATTTTATATCTGTTGCATATACTCCAAATGTAATGACCAAAACTCAGTCAAGACATTTCACTTCGTTCATTCTTACCGTAACCGTTGTTAACCCTAGGATTGTACCGAAACCAAGGTAACGAACGATGCATACAATGCAATACAATATTCCGGAATCCTTTATCCTGGTAATATATATCACTAATAAGTTTATTTTACGATTCGATTTGTGTAGGTTTGTTATCACAAGCGGAGCCTATATGGAGAAAGAGGAAGGTTTGAGAGTTTTAAAAGAATTTTATTATTTGGAAGTCTGTAAGCTATCACCAAGACTTTTCAACGATCGGATTCTTTTTTTCTGTAAAAAATTTTCAATGTATATATACTAAATTATAAACTACGCATTTTCGCATTAATAAATAATATAAACAATATAAATGCTAGTAATAAATAAACTTAATAAAATAAAGAAATATAGGAAATTAACTAAACCTCCGAAATGTTACATAATAATCAATGGCTTGTTTATGCTGTTTATAAGCAGCTAATCTCATGTATTTTTCACCCAACACTTCATTCTTTAAACCGAAACTATCAGAAAAATATAAAGTTGCAGCATTATACATACCAACAACTTGACCATTTTCGGCGGCTTTGGTAAAATATTCGGCAGCTTCTTTTAAATTCTTTTTAACTCCTATACCTTTAAATAAACAATTACCGTAATGTAATTGAGCTTCAGAATCACCTGAATCCGCTACTTCTTTATATAAATCTGCAACTAATATGTCTTTTGTTGCTTGATTCATATCAAATTTAACCAAATTTTGTTGAATATAATACGCTTTGAAGTATTCTGCATTTGCTTCAAAACATTTATAAGCTAACTCGCGATTTCCATTAGGAAGTCTATGTTGTTTCGATGCTTCATCTACTGACATATAGTTAAACTCTGCGAAATTTATATCATTTGCAAGAGTCTCACTTTTTGGCACGAGTTTAGGACTATGTAATGGAGTATATCTACTATCTTTCTTATATAGATCTTGTAATATGGTATAGATTTTTGAAAACCGAGGCCTAAAGTTATGATCATGATCAACAGCTAGATATAAATGTAAGTTTGCAGAAGTTAATTTAAAAGCCAGCCAAATAAGTTTGTTGAATAAAATAGATATAAGAAATATAAATACCTTTTTTTGCAAGGTCTTGATATTCTTTTGGGAAAGAAGTACCAAGTGAAAATGATTCACGAAATTTTTTGGTGCAAACGAGCTCAGTAATTACAATGATATCATTACCATATTTCTCATAAGGAATTTTCTCTTCGGCAATTTCCCAAAGCAGTATGCCAAAACCTTAAACTTCACACTTAGTATCGTATTCTGACCTTCTTTCTAATTGTTCTGGGGCGCAATATCGTACAGCTTCTAGAGTTAGAGCTAGGTATGTCGTACAATATGTAATTTCTCTTGCTTTAAAATTTGCAATTTTGGCCGTCTCGTGATCGGTAATTAAGATATTCTCAGGTCTAATATCACGATGAACAATCTATACATACGAGTTATCCCCCAAAAGCAACAAATGATTATCTTAAGAATTAGGAATTTCTTTTGGAATGGAAATTATTATTTTCTTTTTTTTTTAAAAAAAATTACCTTAGCAGCGTTCAAGAAATTTAAACCTTTGGCTATATCAAAGCAAATCCTAATTTCAGCTTAACATCAAGTGGATTATTTTGATAATATTCACGTAAATTGCCATACTCGGCCCATTCAGTCACCAAATAGTATTTATAGTCATACGCTGTTAAACCAAAGTATTGAATAATACTATCACATTGATCCGATTTTTTTAAAATTGTAACTTGCTTTCTAAAATTATCTTTATCCTCTTCACTGCTATTTTTAACAGCAACCAACTTTAATGCAACAAAGTCATTCAATCCATGCTTTCTTCTAAATTTTTTAACACTTTTTAAATGTCGATTACCATCAGGTTCTTGTTCTTCAAAATCACTATATTCTAGTAATTCACTCTTGAATATATCGGTATTTGTTTTTGATTTAGATTCCGTCAATAATTTATTAAGTGTACTCAATTTTGCGACCATATTCAAGATCATATGATTGTTGTCAGTTACACCACTGCCGATGTCATCAAGATACTATAATAAATAAAACGTTAATTATAAAAAAACATTTGATTATATATCAAACATTACCTTAGTTAAATCATCGAGATCAGACTTAATATCTTTACTATCTTGTTCTGCACGTATACTAAAATCGAATGCCAGAGAGAAGTGAAACGCTTGTATAGTGAAATCAAACTCGCTACTTAATTCTTTTACATTACTCTCAATACTTTTAGCTTGAATATACTTGGATAAACCTGTTAATTGAGAAATTTCTTCAACAAATTTTCGAATTTTTTTAATTATATTAACCAATTTTTGCAGATGGGTAAGATTACTATTTGAAAAAAAATTTTCATTTTTGTCTCTACGATTTTTTAAATTCCATAATGCTGTTTCGGCTATATGTATTCTATACCACAATATCCCACATATTTTTTTATTATGTTCAGCTAATTGAACAATTTCTACAGTTTCATTAATTACTTCGGCTACCTCTTTTATAAGTGGTAAAAAACTTATAATTGGCAATATTCCATCTAAAACAAATGTTGCATTATTAAGCGTTGGTCCTAAATTTAAATTCATTTTTTTAAGATTATATAGTGCATTTGTATTATTATTTTCTGCAGCTTTTTGATACCAATATAAGGCCTTTTCTAAATCCTTTACTGTTCCTTTACCATTTACATATAATAATGCAAGATTATATTGTGCAATTACATTATTATTTTCTGCAGCTTTTTGATACCAATAAAAGGCCTTTTCTAAATTCTTTACTGTTCCTTCACCATTTTCATATAATAATGCAAGATTATATTGTGCATTTGTATTATTATTTTCTGCAGCCTTTTGATACCAATAAAAGGCCTTTTCTAAATCCTTTACTGTTCCTTTACCATTTACATATAATAATGCAAGATTATATTGTGCAATTACATT